CACTTATTCTATGTGGGTCTTACATTAAGCAAGTTTGGCCACCCCTGCTCTAGGCCTACCCCTGCCTACATATATTCAACCTAACATCAGTACAGAACCTACACACAGTGCTTCCTGATCCATGGATGGAGCCTTAAATGAGTAGTTTGCACACACTGATTCTATGCTGAACTTGTGTGTGTGTGTGTGGGGGGGTGTTTGGGGTTACCAGGTCCCCCCCTGGCCACCAGCGGGGGATGGGGGGGGGGTCAGGTTGTTACATCCAGGTTGGGAAACTCCTGGAGATTTGGTGGTGGACCCTGGGAAGAACAGGGCCTTCAACAGAGTACAATGCCATACAGTCCACCAACCAAAGCACCCATTTTCTCCAGGGGAACTGATCTCTGTAGACTGGAGAAGTGCTGTAATTCCAAGGGATATTCAAGTCCCACCTGAAGGCTGGCATTCCAGCGTGAGTCCACTCCTTACTCAACACACATTGCCTGTACACAGTTATTTCATACTCATAGCATAGTCCCTTGGATTGCAAGAAGATCAAATCAGTCAATCCTAAAAGAAATCAACCCTGACTGTTCCCTGGAAGGCCAGATAATGAAACTGAAGCTCAAATACTTTGGCCACCAAATGAGAAGGGAGCACTCACTGGAGAAGACCCTGATGCTGGGAAAGATTGAAGGTCAAAGAAGACGGGGACGGTAAAGGATGAGATGGTTAGACAGGGTCATAGATGCAACGAACATGAAATTGAGCAAACTTCAGAGGACGGCGGAAAACAGGAGGGCCTGGCGAGATCTTGTCCATGGGGTCGCGAAGAGTCAGACTCGACTGTGCAACTGAACAGCAACAACAACATAGCATTGCTTAGTTACATGTACCAATCCGTCCTATTTTATGGGCATTAACTTCCCCCATATTAACATATAGCATACAGTCCATGCTATATTTACAACGGTTTCGAAACATTGCTGCCAAAATAAAGGCAACAAGATTTCAAGAAGCAATGTTGAGGAAACATTCAAAATATGGTGAAAAACAAGAAGGGCCTCAAGCCCCTCCAAAATGAAACAAAACAAAACAAAACAAAAACGTTGAAAGCAGCTATCTCAACTTCTGCTTAATTTTGGCTGGGAGACAGGAAAATCCTCTCATCTTTGAGGATACAATCAAATCAAGAAAACAAGGATAGCAATACAACAGATGCAAAAGCTTCAGAGGATGAAAACTATGTTTGCTTACTGGGGGGGATGGGGCTGGATGAATGTGTTGTTTCCCTATCAAGGAAAGAAAGAGGGGAAGACAGAACTAGACTTAAAACAAAACCATGAAGACTTCATTTTTATGAACTTTTCTGGATTTTCCACAGCTTCATGTGTTTAAGTAATCCTAGAAGAGATGCCATTTGCATGGTATAAAATCTACTGTAATTGCCTTCCTTTTTAAAAGAAATAAAAAGTCTTGCATTCTTAATAGAAGAGAATGCAAAACATTTCCTTTTAAAGAAAACTGATCAAAAGCCTTACTGTTATTACTAATACTGTTCTGCATTACTATGGGTGCGATCACACACACAATTAGCTGTGCCATAGGCGCGAATGCTGGGTGGATTTAAAGGGTGCGATCAGACACGAACATCTGGGAAGCGCCCCACACCCACCAGCAACCCATTTTGCTCTGTCACAGAAGTGGAGTAAAAAGATACCAGGGAAAAAAGACACCAAACAGGTTGCTACGGGCCACGGATGGACTTTCCCCTGTCTGATCGCTACAGCGCGCTCTCGTGACATCGGGATGGTCTGATCCGGCCATCCCGACTCCATGCCGTTGTTTTCCCCCCCTTCTCAGTATGCGCATCATCGCACACTCCATGGGGAGCCCTCAGTGCTGAGATGTGATTCATCGATTCCCCGTTTAAGTGCATCGGGAACAAATGGCCAAAAAAAACCCCAACCCTGACTCACCCGCGGTTGTGTCTGATCACGCAGTGGCAGGCTGCAGCTGCAGCTTCAAAGGACTGTGTGATCACACAACTGTGGGTCAAATTCCTCCAGAGGAAATAGCCTCGCTTCCCCCCCTGTGTTATCTCGCGCATGTGACTGCCACCAATGACAATCAACATTACTTCATTCTGACCATCTCCTGAACTGTTTTAGGCTTAAACTATTTCTTTACTATCGCTTTTTACTCATAATTCAGCTGTAAACTCTGTTTTAATGCAATGTAATGCTAGCATGCTAGCATGAACAGAGCTAGAACAACTGTAGGGCTATATGGAAAGATATTTTTTTTAATGTTCACACTAAATAAGCATATCAAGATTCAAATGAACTGATAAACTGAACACCAGAATACTTCACTTTGGTACTGAAAATAGGAGTTCACAAGAGCACGAGTCCCTTCTGTGAAAGTGTCATTGCGGCTGACCCTTCTAAGAGCATGACCAAGTTACATGCTGCTTATAACATTAGGAATGGCAGTGTGCAGTTTACCATGGAATGCTTAAATTTTGAACAGTTGAAGCGTAAGCAAAAATTAAACATGGTTCCCTACCTCTCAGCCAGCCAAGCAAGGCATAGCTTCATTTTCAGTCCCAACATCAATAGTTTCAGCATCAACTATGGAAAGCAGCTGTTTTACCACATAAAATGAGGAAAGTACAAAATGCATTTTTTTTAAAAAAAACTAAAAACAAGTAAATGAGCTGAGCTTCAAACCAACACTAGTCTAAAGGTGGGGAAAAGCCACACCAGGTTAGAAAAACAAAAATTGAGGAAAATTTTTCAGCATTAAAAGTTATGTCCAACCACAGACCTTTAAACCATCTCTAAAATCCTAACTACAAATAATGGACTTTATTGTTCATTTGCTGCAAGGTTAGGCAGCCTGATGTGATGGATGGACTGTCACCCTCTAACTAAACCACTGCACTCCATCATAAAGGAGTGGAAATCCTGGTCATAAAATGTCAATAATCCTACAGGATGAAACAGGTAATACCTAACAAAGTTTTGTTGTTTTTTGGGGGGTGCAACAAAAATAAAACACAAAAAACACAAAAAACCCAAAACTAAAACTTACAGCTTCCAAATCAACATTTTATCTACATGGCTTAATTTTGAAGACTGTAGAATTTAAAGGCATACAAAACAACAGAATACCCTTTTCTGCTACCAGATGAGAGTGCAACCCATTCTACAGATACATACAAACTATACACGCAATGTACTATGCAAAATACTAAACATAACTAAACTGAGAGCTAAGATATAAGATGCAGAATATGAAAAAGATCCAAAAAAGACGAGATTTAATGGGATGATCACCATGAGATACAAGATTTTGAAAGAGGTTTTAGTCAAGCCATTCCACAATGATCAAACACAGGAACCTCTGCTTCAAAGGGCTGTCACAGACCAACAGCTACCAGCAACTATAGGGGCTGAATACTTAAACTTATAACTTGCCAACTGGTCTCTACTTGAAAACTGAAATTTGTTTGCAGAGACCGGAGATTCTCAGAATGAGTTATGTGATCATGCAGACAGGCTTCTGGTACTGCTGCAAAAGGCAATAGTGGAGAAGTAACTGACAAAGGCCAGACTACATCCTGCTTGAAACAGCAGAGGCAACTGCAGTGAGTAGATTACAGATTATTCGGAAAAGTAACAATTATTGTTGCTGGGAGACAAACTCTACAATCACAGAACGTTCAAAAATTTATCGACTTGCCTTGCTGACAGTTTCTCTTTTGGAAGGAGGATTAGGAGAATCAGCTATCAATGACTTGAAGCTAACCAACAGGATGAGGAGGCCACAAGAGCAGGCCCTTTGGGGAAGTGACCAATGAGGACTGTTTTATGAATATCTATGCCTTTTATGCTCTAGCTTGCTTGTTATTGATAATTTTATACCGTTTTTATGATTTTATTTTGTTGCCTTTTCTGCAAGCTGCCTCAAGCAGGTCCCCAATATGGCGGAAAGGCGCCAGGTCACTTGTACTGGCCCTTGCGTTCAGGCCACTTGAACTTTGCAACAAGGCTTTCATTGGGCCCTTATTTATTTTTAACTGCCTTTCTAATGAATACATGTATTTTTGTATATTATAAGTTTACACTAGGTTTTTAATATTGGCCCTTTATCAGACTTCTTCCTTACCCTTGTGGTTCCTGATTCCAGTTTTTGGGTCAAGTTTGTTTCCCCCCTCCTTGTGTCTTACTAAGGCGCTGAAGCACCTTTTCTATGATGAAAGGTTGAAGAGTCGGGGACTTTTCAGCTGAGAAAAAAGATTGTCTACAGGAGCATGAAAGATGTTTATATGATTATACATGGGGTAGAGAGAGTGGACAGGTTAAACCTTTTCTCCTTCTCTTAAAATACAAGAACTCGAGGACATCCAATGAAGCTGATGGGCAGTAGATTCAAGATGACCGATTAAAATGTGAAATTAGCTGCTAGAAGTTGTAATGTCCACAGGAGTAGACAGCTTTAAAAAGGGATTAGACGGATTCATGTCAATCAATGATTATTAAAGGAAACATCCACATTTAGAGGCAGTAAACCTCTGAATACCAGTGGCAGGAGGCAACATCAGGGGAAGGCCTCGGATTCTATGACCTATCGTTGGCTCTCCAAACTAACTGGTTGGCCACTGTGTGAAGCAGAATGCTGAACCAGATGGACCACTGGCCTGATTCAGTAAGGGTCTTCTTTTGTTCTTAAGTGTAAACGTGCTACAAAAAAGCTGATTATGTTTTTAGGCTCCATTAAAAAATATGGCATTAAAGACAAATTCCATGTAATCAGTACGTCTTGATTTATGCACATTCAATATCATATTAGGTGTCAAAAAGTCATGTCTGTCTTCTTCCAGGGGGCTACTGACAAATTTTAGATCTTCTCCTTAATCCTGAATCTAGATAGAAGTAATGGTATGTATCCTTACTCATTCTTCTGGCATAGCAATAAGGTAATGCAATCTGAATGATTCAAACAGAAATATTTACCGTACACAGTGAAGTCTTCGTAACTGTCAAGGTGAATTCAGATGTAAATTCCAGTTCTGGAACTGATACAACATGGCAGTCTATCCACTACAAGAAACAGGAAATTTTAAGTGAAATTTCAAATACAGAAATGGACACAAACATCAAAAGGAATTTACAGAAACACTGATTTAATCAGTGCTACACTGTAGACTTTACCTAAACGTTTTATTTCAGGAGCCAAAGCATCTGAAGTGTCAGAACAGTGCTATTACTACAAATAAACAATAAGCAACTGGCAATCCCTAGGACAAATGTGGCATCTCCAAGGGTGACAGACTACGGGCAAGAGGAGTATGGAAGTAGTGATAGCGAAAATAACAGAATTTAATGGAAGAGATACACGATTCCCCATACAGAACTATCTCTGGAGATCATTTATCATATACCTTGAAGCTGCTTCATATGACAACACAATTAAGCCAGTGTTTCATGAACTGCAGGTTGGAAGCCCGAAGTGGGTCACTCCTACAGGTGACTTGTGAAGCCAGAGGGAAGAGGAGGAACAGAATGAACTGAGAGACAAGGTTCTAGGCCTGCCTCCTTGCAATGGCAAGAAAAAAAAGGGAGACAGAGGATCTGTCACATACCCATTTCCTCCAATTCTTTGCCCTAGGGCCAAACATTCCCTCGGAAAGGGAGAGAGAGGCTCAGCTTACTAGCTGCTTAGTACAATTGAGTGTTTCTGGTACACAATTTCTGATCAAGCCAACTAAGCTCTCCAATCATGCCAGCCCTGGAGACATGGGAAACAATAGGAGCAGTAGCATGGACCCACACAGCTGGCAGGCACTGCTTAGCTTGCTCCTGGCTGCTGGTAATGTGGGATGTGTAGTGAGGTCATAGCCTACATCTTCTAGACCCATGCAGGCAATATGGCTGAGTCTGTAGTCATCCTGGTGCTGGGAATGGTGCTGATCATGTTCTCTCAGCCCAACCTATTCATAGGACTGAAATGAAAAATGAAGAACCTCATAGACAGCACTGAGCTCTTTCATAGGAAAAGAGAGATAAACATGTGATAAAATTGTCAGTCCAACTCCTGGCCACGAAATACTCAAGACAACTATCTATCCTTCATTCTCTCCTTCAAACGTGAACAGATAAAATGTTCTGGCTTGTTTTGGCATCCCACTGAGTGGCAATGCATTCCGTCCCTTGATCCCTCCTGCAGAAACCTGCTTCTTCGACCAAAACAAGTAGGAGCTTCACACATTATATTTTGGGTGCATCCCTTACATTCTTAAGTGTATGCTTAAATATGTAACATCTGCTGTTGGGCAATCAGTTCAACTCCAAACAGGAAAACCTAGACCGGGCGTTACAAGTCGTGGCTGGTTGGCTCAGGCTGAGCTGGCTGAAATTGAATCTGATGAAGACAGAGGTCCTGTGCCTGAGCCGGGGTGGTCTGGGGATAGGGATCCCATTTGCGACCTTCGATGGGGCTCCTTTGGTGCCAGCACAGGAGGTTAGGAGCTTGGGAGTGTTCCTGGATGCCTCCTTAACAATGGAGGCCCAGGTAGCAGCCACTGCCAAATCGGCCTTTTACCATCTTCAGTTGATTAGACAGTCGGTTCCCTCCCTTGAACGCAACCACTTGGCAACAGTGATACATGCAATTGTCACATCAAAACTGGACTACTGTAATGCTCTCTACATGGGGCTGCTCTTGTCTCAAATCCGGAAGCTGCAGCTGGTGCAAAATGCTGTGACCAGGCTGTTGATGGGACTCCCAACTCGAGAGCACATCCAGCTGGTCCTAAAGGTATTACACTGGCTGACAATAGCATATCGAATTCATTTCAAGGTGCTGGTTTTGACCTTTAAAGCCCTTTATGGTCAGGGGCCTACATACCTGAGTGACCGCCTTTCCCCACATGTTCCCCAGAGAGCACTGCGTTCAGGGGCCCAGAACCAGCTGGCCCTCCCAAGTTTGAAGGAGGCCAGACTGGTGACAACCAGGGCCAGGGCTTTCTTGGTGGCGGCTCCGTTCTGGTGGAAGAAGCTCCCATCAGGGCCCTGCGGGGCCTCTTACAGTTCCGCATGGCCTGTAAAACGGAGCTCTTCCACCAGGCTTTTGGAGCCGCCACCACTGCCAAATATCATTAACAGCTAACAGCAGTAGGATAGAGAGCCCTGTGTCCCTGGAATTTTTAACAACGGCCAGTGCCACTCGCCTGAAAGACATCTGAAGAATATCTAAGAGCTGATTATCTGAAGAGAGAACTGAGTATGGCAGCCACCGCTGAATCAATGACAATCAAGGACAATAACACTAGCCCTTATTATGTCATCAGTTGGTTCTAGTATTGTTTTAAGTGTTATTTGTTTTTATTGTAATTCTTATGTGCTCTTTTATGTAAGCCGCCCTGAGCCAGCCTTGGTTGGGAGGGCGGGGTAGAAATTTGACAGACAAATAAATAAATTGTGCTATTTCCAATAGTACAACTATGTGACTGTAATCTGACTATATACAAATTATTATCAGAAACTGCTCACCCTGTGGAAATGAAACCTCTTTGAAAATATACACAGTTCAATCTTGTGTACAAGTTGTCAGATTTTCTCAGTTGCAGGGAGCATGACACAGACATTATTCACATTAATGAATATCAGATTCAGAAATAAATATACACTTTTAAGTCATCATATGATTAACTAGGTACATTTTTATAATTTCCTAGATATTTTAAAATCATCCATTTTACATAGCAGTTATTGATTTTGGATGTTTACTTATAATGACATTCTCAGTCAACTCATTAATTTTACTGCAAGTTGCATAGGAAAATAAATATGTTAAAAATTTAAAGATTCTTCAGAAGCTTCACCTACCAATACCACATAAGCATCTTCTCTCATAGATTGCAATGTACCAATAGGTTGCAAAGCAGTTGTAGTGTATCAAAATAGCTAGAACCCTAAAAGACATGCTTGTCACTTGTTCCAAAGCTGTGGGAAATGTATTCTGGCTTTATGTTTCCAGAAACGCAAGGTTTGGGCTTTACAATACCTGGAAGAATTACTGAACAAAATACTGCAGCTACCATTTTAATTTGGACAAAGTACTCAGAAGTGTGGGCTGCAATGGCTCAAGTGGTTAAGACGCTGAACTGCAGACTGGAAGGTCGGTAGTTCAGCAGTTCAAGACCTGAGTGCCGCATGACAGAGTGAGCTCCTGTCTCTGGTCCCAGCTCCTGCCAACCTAGCAGTTCAAAAGCAAGAAATTGCAAGTAGATAAATAAGTACCACGTTGGTGGGAAGGTAACAGCGGTTCCGTGCGCCTCGGCGTCTAGTCATGCTGGCCACATGACCATGGAAATGTCTTCGGACAGCGCTGGCTCTTCGGCTTGGAAATGGAGATGAGCACCACATCCCTAGAGTCAGATTCAACTGGCTTTCGAGCAAGGGAAACCTTTATCTTACTCAGAAGTGTAGCCTAATTTGATTCACATAAAAGATCATTACATGGATTCAAATTTCACTTCAGACATGGAATGATAAACTACCTCACTGAATGCATATATTTTCCCACTGCAAATTACTATATAAATAGGTGTCTTGACTCTACTTCCACCCTAACTCCCCCCCAAAAGAAAAAAACAAGACAAAACAGTGTGTGGGGGGAACAGATAAACCTTCCAGAGATTAATATGCAGGCCTGGATTCACTGGAAATCTCCATGGATGGAAGGGATTTCCATCTGTGGAATGGGACTTTCTCCTCCACACTGGGGCCCCAAATACTGCCCCCCCCCCACTGTTCCTGAGGAAATAGGGGACCTTTGGGACAGCTCGGAAGGCAAAAATAATCCGTCCCCTCCTGTTTGCTGAAATCCTTCCACTTGGAACAGCGGGGTGAAAAAGAAACTGAAAAACAAACTAACACTGAAAGATCCAAAGATTCTTGGGTCATTAAATGTGCCCTAGATGGACCCAACAGACAGGATTGGGCATGACTAGGCAGCCATTATTACTCCCTATTTTTCTCCTGCTTCTGTGATTTTGAAATGTGCCCTAGATGGACCCAACAGGAGTGGGCATGACTAGGCAGCCATTATTATTCCCTATTTTTCTCCTGCTTCTGTGATTTTTGTTGTTGTTTGTTGGGGGAAGAGGAGGGACAGGAAACCTGTTGTGGAATTGCTGCAACATGCATACAATTGTTAGGTCCAAGTTCCAAAACATTAGCCACACAGACCCAGCAATGTCGTTATGGATTCATACAGGGGCTGCTTAGTATTTACCTTTCAATAGTTAAGTCTCCACAGGCTTGTAAATGGAACAAGTAATGATGAATCTTTTTCACAATGTTCAAAATATTTGCTACAGTACCTTGATGACACAGCCTTCAGACAGAAGGGTACTTGAATCCAACACCTCCACAACAGCTTCAGGAATTACAGCCTTCTTCATACAGGACATCTTGAAGCCATACACATCATCCCAGAAAGTGAATCTGTCTGCATGTTTATTGAAGTCACCTACAGCCACCAGGCTTATGGAACAGATATCAGGATATACTACAAAAAGAGAAGAATAATTATGATTGTAGAGCGAAACATAGTGTTGAAGAGAAGCCAAATGTTGACCAAGGTATTCTGTAATTAAATAACTGGTTCTACAAGGAAAAATAAAAGCAAGATAACACACAGGAAAAGTGATGATCCCCAAAAGAAGCTGAGACTAGTCAGTTGACTTCTACAGACATGTCAGCTGTCACAAACTAGCATGTGGTGTTACGGCTATTTGTAACTACTCCAGAACATATAAGAGAACTTTATCTTTGCTAATAGTTGCAATGGCAAACAAGATTGTCATTCTTTGAATTACATGGAAATCTTATTTCCCTGCATTCTAGACTTGTGCCTGGCTTGTCAGCAATGCTCGTGAGTGAGGGAAAACAAACTTTCCAAATCAAGCATGTATTTCTAGAAGTAGTGTGCTATGAAGTGACCAGCAGCTCAGATAAAAATCTGTGAAGCAGCAACAGAATCTGCAGCTGGGGGTTTAGCAGAGGAAGTAATTGTGTGATGACTGAGTCAGATCATAAGCCTCCTAGTAAGAAAAATGCCTCAACCATGCCAAACGCAGGGCGATAGCAACATTAACAGATACACAGCACCCTTTTACCACATCCATATTTGCGATGGGTCTCATTTATTTGGCCATCATGTTAACAGAAGACATGCTGCTTCGAGCATGAAAGCCTGAATTACAATAGGTTACATTAATCTTCCATTCCTTTGTTCTTTGGATAGCCAGCCTTTAAAACCAGATAGAAAACTGAAAGTTAATTACAAAAATACTTTAACAAGCAACTGGAAAATTAAAGGGGGGGAGTGTGAGAACGTGAGGTGTGCCCACGTACCAATATCTCATTGGCTCAGACATAATGCAGAACCATAGTTTATTTTAACAATAGTGGATTGTGAATCCAGAATTTAATTCACAGATGACATTCAGTGCTAACTTGTCTAAAGAGATCTTGGTTTCACAAGTTTCTCACTCTCCTAGCTGCTATCCCAGACTATACATTGCTGCTCCTCAAGGACGGAAAGCTTGATATGGCAGCTAATTTTCTGCTGGCTGCCAATTAAGCTGAACTATAAACACTAATGTTCAATGGACGCCCCCCCCCCCTCGTTTTATCCCACTCTTGGGAACCACATTCCACATTCTATGCTGGAGCTCATTTCCACTTCAGCAATAGTAAGGCAGCTCCGGATCCGGCCTGCATGTCCCCCCCCCCCCCTTTTCTGATTGGTCAACGCCAGCTGAGGAGAGCTGTAAAATGCCTTGTCAGAGGGAGTTAGTCATAGTTTGGACTTTGGCTTGGCAGTTGCCACTCAGGAGGAGTGTTTGTGTCAGTCTGAGGAAAACAGACAAGTTACTTGAGAAATGAAAGGACACAATGACTTGCCCTTACTGTGTACCAACACATTTGAGGAAAAGTTCAGAAAATAGAACTTAAAGTCTAAGTGTCAGCTACTGAGGCTGTTCAGTCAGAGTGGGAAACAGTGTTTTGGCAAGAAAATCTGCCTCACAGAGAAGAACTGGGGGTTTGTCATAGCCCCATCTGTGGATACTTCAATCCAGAGACTGAAGCTATGAACAGACAAAACAGATCTTTCTACAAACCTGTGAAATGGCTCTGGTTTCCAGAAAAAGTCTGAAATCTAAAAAAAAAATACAGTGGGGGTGTTAACAGAAGCAGCATCTGTAACTTTAAGAATGTAATGTCTTCTGAGATCTCGGTGACTATTATGGGGGTTGCAAGGCAACCACAACAATATTGCTAGGCTTTTTGAACCTTGGTTTCTGTCAGTAAAAGTGAACGGGACAGGGCCATTTTCAAGGCTATTTTGGCCTTCCAGTCCACCCATGCTCCCCTGCCTCCCGCTCTGGAGGGAGGACTCAAGGAGCCAGGCCCGGGAGCAACCACCAGGAAACTTGCTACCATGCAATCCAAACAATTCACCCAGGTGTGGCAGTGGCTATGACGATACCACACATCCTGCCTGGAACCAGCAGCAGCCTCCACACAATCTGCATGACTTGGTAGGCTCAGCAATGACCACCACAAAACTCATCCAAGCAACTTGCTACTGCACAACTTTTGTGGCTTGGCCAAACTTTTTCCAGGGAAAGGGAAGGAGGGAAAGCTGAGAGAGCTGGAGTAGTATAGTAGTTACAGTGTCAGACTAGGATCTGAAGACCAAGGTTCAGGTCCCCACTCTGCCCTGGAAGCATACTAGGAACTTCGGGCCTGTCACACATTCTCAGCCTAACCTTGTTCACAGTGTTGTTGTGAGAGTGAAATGAAGAAGAAAATGCTGTAAGCTTCTTTGTGTCCTCACCGGACAGAAAGACTGGGTATAAATGAAATAAACACACTGTGGGTGGACTGATAAAAGAAAGATTGTTTGGTGAACAGGAAAGAGGAGGGAAAGGGGAGAGAATATGGGGACTGCCAGGAGGAAAAGAAAGAGGCTATAGTGTGGGGAAGGGAATACATGAGAAAGTGTAGGCCCCACAAGTCCTTCTCGGTTCCCAATTTCGGACATATTTCCAGTTCTTCCAATGTAAATTCAATGTCCTTGTTATACATCCAAATCCTATGCCCATTTATTCAAAAATCCCAATATGATGGCATCTTACTCTCAGCTGGATTGTAGTTAGCCTTATTTTTAAATAAACTGTAATACCAACACTTCACTTTCCAGGCAGAATTGTTTTTGTTTCTATTTCTGACCACACTGTATTAAACTTTATATTAAGAACTGAAATTACTGGAAAGAAAATAACTAGTCTTAAAATGCCATAAGATCATGATTCTTTCTAGTAAACTGCTAATTTTAGAACTACTCACCCAATTTTTGATCCTGCATTTAGGTTTCTGTATGCAGAAACAGTTTATCAAACCCCCAGAACTCAGCTGCAAGGAGGTGAGAGTTTGCACTTGGCATCTGGTATAACTTTCATAGCATCTCAAATAGGCTCTGCCTGAACCTTCATAATGAATCCTCTACCACCGCACCCAGGTGTCCCCTTTCCCCACCTTATCTTATGCTTGATAGCTAATGCAAAGCAATGCATTCATAACTCTATACTGCACTTGTGGTTTTCTGGACAAGGTCACCATTTGTATGATTGTTGCATTATTACACTATGCAGTGCTTTTCTCTCTTTGTTGGGACAGAACCAACCCAGCCAGTACTGAAATTACTTTCCTTACTTTTGTGAAGACCACAGTTTATGGAGAAGGATTTGGACATATACTTTGGTGATTGGTCAGTTTATGTGAGAATTTTTCAAATTTCCAGGTCCCATATTCTGTCATTTAGCTTTTATCTGATTAAATTATTCCTCATCATAGGTGATATTAAATGCTGATCAGACACATCTCACAGCAACCCACTCTACAAATTCATGGGTTTGTCATCTGTGTCCTTCTCGATTCACTGCCCCTGAATCATTTGTCACCAATAACAGCTCATACAGAGAGCAAAGTGAGATGGGAAATCTTTTATCCCTTAAGCAGTGCCCCACAAATCTAAGAACATTAAGAGGGTAAGGCTGTTCTAATGAGGTAGCAGACAGGGTTGTAAATGAACATCAAGCAAGCATTTTCTCATACAGCGATTTATTTTGGGATAAGAGCCTCTTTCCTCAGATCATAGTTTAATATGAGTCACAGATTTTACAGATATTGAGGGACACTAGGGGAATCACACAACAACTGCTAGTCTACATTGTCCCGAATACACTACTACACAGAAAACATCAAGTTCCAACACACACAATGGGTTGGATTCAACTCAAGCTGAGCAGTTTTGCAAAAGGGAACCTGCCACCTTTCCTACTGCAGTCTCCTAAGTCCCCCGAAATTCAGGGAACTTCTAGAATAGTACAAAGGCTGAAGCAAAAAGAAGAAAACCAAGAAGAAAATCAAGAATGAGGTGAGCAATTTCTTCTTAGCATGAGTTTTTCTGGGGGGAAAGCTTCAACTATTCCACAATCTGTCACTCCAGAAAGTGGTTAGGAGTCATTCTTCTCTCTCTCTCTCTTTCTCGCTCTCACCCCCCCCCCCATGTTCAACTGCCCTCAACATTCTGCAGGACCTAGCAAACAACAAAGAGCATGCTCAGTGCTCATCAGGCCTCCTTTTTAATTTATGGTAGTATTTCACTACAAGTTAGGAATCTCACAAGCAAGCAAAACACAAAACTAAAATTCTTTATACTATCTATCCATCTTGGTGATAAGCACAGGGCTAAAGCTCATTCATAGAAATAAGACTTTGAGGCCTACGAGGAATTGCATGAGACAATGGGTTTTAGGCCAGACTATTTCCCAGCCCTCTGGGTTTTTCTCTCTCACTTCTATCTTTAACTTAACATTCAATGTCCAGCCTTGAGGTGCGGGTATGGTTTTCAGGCTGTGCCTGGCAAGTCGTGAGACGGTTGGGAGCAGGGACATGCGGTGGGGGGTGCAATGTCATCTGTGCCATTATGTTACTTCCAGGGAAAGCCCAAAAATGATACAGGGTAGCTCTAGGAATTCCTTTTTAAATTTGTCTGTGAGGTAAATTTGACAGCCCCCTACCCCAAATCTGTTCCTCCTCCCATATTCCAAATGCTTTTAAGGCTGATTTACTCCTTTCCCTCTCTGCTACAATCCTCCTTTTCCATAGTGGGAAGTCCCCTGAATATGGAGAAACCCAGACCTTGTCTATGTTATGCTGGTTGCTGCTTTTTATGATTGGCATAAACCAGCTAGTTCCTGATGGTAGTGCTAACTATAGCACCATACGTGAGCTTTCCTGTTAGTTTTCAGTTCTGTGTCCAGTCATCAAGGGTGAGCACTCTTCCCTGAATAGCTGCTATAAGAGAAGGCATAGTTGTGCCGGGTGATTCTTGATGGGGGGGAGAGGCGTGTGTGGAATTGATTTCCTGGTACAAATCTCACATGAACATAAAAGAAGCACGCATAAGATACTTCAGGTGCCAGGTCAGGCAAA